TTGTCCCTGGAATCATATGGAGGGTCACGTTTTGTTAAAAAAACAAACTTGATGCCATCGGTCAAGAATTAATTCCATACTGAATTGGAATCTGAATTTGAAAAAAATGTACTCTTTGGCCTCAAACTGTCCTAAAGATTTTAGCTGTCTTGCATGAAAAGATCAAAAGAAACATTCATTTAAATATAGACAAATACACATAAGAAATTGAGCAATTGACAAAAAATGTTTTTTATTCTCCCTTTGCTCCTGAAAATTTTGTTGAATCTCTGTCTAATTCTCAGTGGTAAACAAGAAACAGCTGGCCACATATTGACAGAAATAAAGAAGAAGCCAAGTCACTTAAAAATATTTTTTTCCACCACTAGTGTATCTTTCATTTTACGATACATCAAATTTGAAAAAGTTTTGAGTTTTGTGTTAAATTAGGCCAGGTACGTACGTCCCCAAAAAATCTGATGAAGCCATGCCTCAATCTTACTTTGAAGAGCTGTACTAGCAGTTTAGTTTATCTGGTTCGCTCAGGAACTTGCATCGAATACATAGCAATACATACAGCACTTACAATGCCAAAGATAATTAGCTCAAAATCCTGGTTGTTGAAGTTGTTCTTGACACATCTGTTGGAAACATCTGACATAAAAAAAAAACGTCTTCATCAACAGTCATCAATCTTGCTTCTTCTGGGACCATCTCTAGATGTTTGTTTTACCTTGGTATCTATACTCTATACCATTATTTTAATCAGGGTCATCTTGATTTTAATTTCAAATATATCATCACCATTTTTGAATTAACCTTTCCACAATCAGAAATGAATAATTCTCATATTTGCCTAATTAGTGTTACGCCCTAAATTCAATTCCAACAATTTAATTGCTTGAAGGGCTTTTTTCCATTCCAGTTGTCCCTTCAAATGTAACCCTCCTAGCCCCCAACCCCCCTCCCCCAACCCCAAAAAAAGGCTACCCTCAGAAAGAGGAGAAGCTAAATGAAGGAGATCTCCCTTCTAGTTCTTATGATCAACTTCATCTCCCAAAACCTCAAAATTTCATCCACCCCCACATCCCACTGCCAAAGTCAAAGGCCTGGCTACTAAGCATACAAATAAAAGGGTTATTCTTTCAAGTTACGCTTACACCAAATAGATATATCCTTCATGTAATAGTAATAGACTGTATATACCGCGGTATACCCTGTATACCCATGTATACCCTGTACACCCATATATGTATACCCGCGTAACATGAAAGACTGCCATGAATTACTTGCCAAGTATAACCCAAAAAAACAATTTGCTACTCCCATGCACTTTTAATTAATAAGACTTCAAAAAAGGCCATTTTGCAAATAAAACCTTATACGCTGTTACAAACGCACCGATTTGCCTTTAAAAATCAAAGCATTGAACACTGCCTAAAGTGGGAGATTGAACTATTGAAAGAGTTGTGCTTAAGCCTGATAAGCTACATTAATAAGCACATGGGCTTCGAGGGTGGGGGTCAAGATCTTACCAAGTGAAAGTAAACCATTACCGCAAGCACTTCTAAGACTGTTTAAAAAGATATATAATATAGTTCTTTCTGTTTGATCTATCTATAATCGCTCCTAACCTTGCAAAGTAGATGAAAAACGGTAGAAAGACAACCATGCCTTCCGCGCGCCATCTTTGAATGAGTGNAAAAAAAGGCTACCCTCAGAAAGAGGAGAAGCTAAATGAAGGAGATCTCCCTTCTAGTTCTTATGATCAACTTCATCTCCCAAAACCTCAAAATTTCATCCACCCCCACATCCCACTGCCAAAGTCAAAGGCCTGGCTACTAAGCATACAAATAAAAGGGTTATTCTTTCAAGTTACGCTTACACCAAATAGATATATCCTTCATGTAATAGTAATAGACTGTATATACCGCGGTATACCCTGTATACCCATGTATACCCTGTACACCCATATATGTATACCCGCGTAACATGAAAGACTGCCATGAATTACTTGCCAAGTATAACCCAAAAAAACAATTTGCTACTCCCATGCACTTTTAATTAATAAGACTTCAAAAAAGGCCATTTTGCAAATAAAACCTTATACGCTGTTACAAACGCACCGATTTGCCTTTAAAAATCAAAGCATTGAACACTGCCTAAAGTGGGAGATTGAACTATTGAAAGAGTTGTGCTTAAGCCTGATAAGCTACATTAATAAGCACATGGGCTTCGAGGGTGGGGGTCAAGATCTTACCAAGTGAAAGTAAACCATTACCGCAAGCACTTCTAAGACTGTTTAAAAAGATATATAATATAGTTCTTTCTGTTTGATCTATCTATAATCGCTCCTAACCTTGCAAAGTAGATGAAAAACGGTAGAAAGACAACCATGCCTTCCGCGCGCCATCTTTGAATGAGTGTTAGTTCCCAGTGTCGCAAAACGTCTACAAAGCGCGGCCAAAAAATAGGGCCCCGGTGGGTGCATGTGTTTGCTGCTAATTCTTTCTTTTTAGCGACTTCGTAGCTCAAACTTGAAAAAAAAGTCCATTAATAAATGGGGATTGCGGGGTTGGTTTGACAGAATAGGCTGAAATACATGGACTGTAATAGCAGGAAAAAAAGGCAGGAAATAGTGAGCGCTTGTTCGCTCTGATGTTTTTCTTCCTTTTCTTCCTGGATTTAGTTAGATTTACGAATAAGTGGCGTCAGTGAAGAAAAAAAACCTCTAATTTTTTTGTCTTATTTTGACTTGGCATCTCATTGTTGTAGATGCCGCTGTTAAACTAATGATTGAACCCTCAAATTCATATCTTTAGAGATTCTGTCATTTCAGTCTTTTTTTTCTTTTGCTTTTTAACGTTTGCTGTATCGTAAAGAACACGAATAAACGCCCGGGTGCTAATAAATTTTTCACGCCTCAATAGTTTCGCTTACTGGAGGGCGGCTATGATTTGAAGGACGGACGGGAAAAATAATTGTTTTCACTAAACTTACAGAATTTTAAAACAGGACCCGACAGCGGCACTTTTTCAGACCCATAGCTTATGAACTCATTTGTTCCAAATGAGGCCTTTATTCCAAGGCGGCGCTTTGTCGGGGTGTTTATTCTAGTAAATAAGACATCTTAATTTCGAAATTTTCCGAGTTTGTAGTTTTCAATGTTGCAATTATAATTTCCTCTGAATGTCATTCGTCTACGCTCTTTGCTAGCCTACACTCAGTGCAGGCGTATACCGCATTTCGAAAAAGTGCCCGGGCGCTTATTTCAAATTTCACCTAAAAAGATGGGCGCTTAATCGAGGGGAGCGCATATTATGCTTTCCTTTAAAAGAACTTGAGAATGATCAGGTTGTTCCTAGGAAGTTTACGGCGTTTACCAAGAGTGAGGCAATAGAAAAAAAAACGTTAAAAGAAGTGTAATTGAAAGGTCGAAACTTTACACTAGTTGATCGGAAGAAATAGATGAATCGTGATGGCATCACTGGTCAATTTGTCATCGATATTGATTGCAGTCTTGCAGAGATATTCACCGCCTGTCGAGAGAAAATGTGGGTTTTTCTCCATGAATCACAAAAGCCCTTGATTTAAAGTTTGCTGACCCGTTAAAAATGAAATCAACCACCTGACTTTATTTCATGTTACTTTCTGTATTTGCTCATAATCTTTTTTCATTGCGCGCGCAGAAAGATACTTTTCCACCCGGACGATTGTTTGGAAACTGAATCTGATTGGCTGTTATCAACGCGCGCATTCATTTTCCATTGTTACATCATGAAGAAACTACTTTATTTGTAAAGAAAATTTGACCTACTTTGACGGTTTGTTCTTTACGGTTTGTTCACCTTGACATATTGTATGCATTAAAAGAAGAGAGAACAAAAGAAGGCAATCAAAAAGGGTACTTGCATTTCTACAGGAATAGCTCATTTTACAGGCACAGCTGGAAACAACGAGGCTGGAGTTGTTTTGATACAACCCTTCTCGCTTTATTATGTAAATCGTGTTTCTGTTTTGCTAATTAATATTTTTTAAGCAAAATTTCCATTAGAAAAGGGAGGAGGTTTGTACCAAAACAAGGTCAACCTCAGCCTCACGTTCACTCAAAGGCTAGAACACCAGGTCCACAACTGTAAAATGGCCTGTTAGGGGAGATATGTCCTGGATCGATCTTGTTAGCAAAAATTTGCTAGCAAATGTTTTTCGCAATTGTCGCAGAAGAAATAATTGAGAAAAAGTTATGTCAGAAAATCACTAACAAAAATCGCAAAAATCGCAAGAATAACAAATCTAAAAAGAATCAAGACTTAGAAAGCAAAGAAGCCAAGAGGGGCCCCGAAATGTCCGCAAAATATCGCAAAAATCGCAAATATAACAAGGATTTTTCTTGCTAGCTAAAAACACCCATGACAAATATCGCAAAAATAGCAAAAATAACAAATTTAACAAGAATCAAGACTTAGAAAAAAAAGAAGCCAAGAAGGACCCCGAAATGTCCGCAAATATCGCAAAAATCGCAAATATAACAAGGAGTTTTCTTGCTAGCTACAAACACCCATGACAAATATCGCAAAAATCGCAAAAATAACAAATTTAACAAGATTGTAGACTTAGAAAAAGAAGAAGCCAAGAAGGGCCCCGAAATGTCCGCAAATATAGTAAAAATCGCAAATATAACAAGGATTTTTCTTGCTAGCTAAAAACACCCATGACAAATATCGCAAAGATCGCAAAAATTTCCCTTGAAGGTTCGAGTTATCGGGAGTCGACTGTAATTCAAAGATGTACAGTTCTTAAAAAAGTGAAAATGAAAGACACAAACTCCATCTAATAACCACCGATTCCCTACAAATGCAAGTTCGCATGTCCGCTGAGTAATTTTGTAATAAGCGATGAGTAATTAAACTGATAAACTACTGTACACACAATAAATTGAGGCATCAGACAGAAGTTTCCTGAAAGTAGGTCGGACACAGACATTTACACAACCTTCTGTCCCATTCTTGTTCATGCAAAAATAATTTCTTCAAAGTGCTTTTCGCTGAATCTCGAATTTCACGATATCGCCAGCAATAAACAAGAGGGTTTATTGACGAATTCAGGAAAATAAGAGTCAACGATGCACGTTCAGCTAACAGCAAGGAAGTGTCTTCACTATCGAGTACTAGCAATAAAATGATAGTGAATATATATGGAAGGTAACAAACCAGGAATACTAAATACACAACCAAAGCGTTTAAAGCTGACTTTCTTTGCCGAAGTATATCAATTAAATTGGAGTTTTGTAACCGAAGATGGCATTTCATCTGATGTTGATGATATCTAACGGCTTTGTAGATACGAAAAAACGCCACAGTGTTCAGGCATAGCCCAATGGATTCAACAATCGCAGTTACCTTGTTGCTATGTTCAGAGAGTATAATAAAAAGCGAGCCAGTCGCACCACTTGTCAGCCATAAAACCGTCAATACACTAATGACACGTTCTGGGGTCACAAGCTCGCGATATCGTAGATGCAGCGAAATAGAAAGAAGCCTGTCAACTGCAATGGCTGTTATAGTCAAAAATGATGCGCTGCACAGAAGAACCAACAAGAAATAACACAGGTTTAAAATTGTCGGACAAAAGGAGGCAAAACTCTGGTCTCCATTCGATGTCTTTTTTAACATGACCGCGATGATGACACCATACATCGGCTGGGCCAAAATCCCGGCTACAAAATCGGAAACAACGAGACTCAAGAACAACTTTTTTACAGTAGCAGGTATCGTAGAGGATTTCCACAATGCGTGAAAAACTAGTAGATTTTCCAGAGCTGCAATCAGAGCAAACGTCAAGTTTAAAATACAAACAGCCTCAATAAAGCCCCTGTGTGAATCAACAAGCGATAACTGTTCACTTAGCTCTTCAATGCAGAATTTTGAGGCCATAGTGAAATTTTACATCAAAAGCTCCTTTTAAGCAGGGTGTCACCTTTCCCTTCCTGCTGGCATGGGCTTCAGGTAGTTTGATTCATCCAACTGCTTTTTTTTTATTTTTTTATTTTTTCTCTGCATCCAAGGTTGAACAATCACGATAATAAAGGGGTAACACAGAGAAGACAGTCCGGAGGCTCAGCTGCTTAATTGTAGAGCTGTGCAAAATGACAGGTAAAATGTCAAAAGCCAAGCAAATACAATATAACTAAATTGATGACTAAAAAAGATATTGCAAGAAAGATGCCATTCAACAGATTTCGACTGTCTTTCATAGGACGCCTCATGGAACACAAAAAATTAAACCGGAACGACACAAAACGTTTTAATTGCGGAAGGAAACTCCCACATGCTTTTTACAGTGCTGGAATAAGTGGGTGAAACGATAATGCCTGTCAGCCTATGACTGCCATGTGTGATGAGATGTTGGAACAGGTGTGGACACGATGCGACTTGGAAAGTGCGTTGTTGCACTAAAGTTGAATGAGAAGCGACAAAGAAAGTATGGAAGCTGATACAGAAAGGTTATTACTAGGAAAAAACGGTACAAGTTTCCACGCATTTTTCCTTTTCTTAAATTTTACAATTTCAGTCGGTGGGAGAATGGACTGAATAAATTAGGGTATTAATTAATCAAGTTTAGTAAGTTTGTTCGAAACAGATTATGTAAAGTGCGCGCAAACTGAAGTCAAATATTAATTCATTCGGGGTATAGCACGGAAGGTGGCCACGTTTTCAGATACTAGTCAAAGAGTACTTTTTTATGTGTATGTTCTTTTAAAAAAATGAGTTTAAGGCTTGCACGCCCGAAAGTCATCGTAAGACAGGAAAGTATAAATTTAAGATGGGGAGTCACCAGGGACAATACTGGGTTTAAGTTACAGAAAGCCAGAATATTACGGTCCGGTAGAATTATAAAGGTGCTGATAGTTCATTTACCTTCTGACGGCAGTCATTTTAGGCGCTTGTGAAGTTCTAGTTCCATCAGCCAGGGTCTGCCTGAGTCAACAAGAAAAAATAATTAAAATGGCTGTGTCAAGCTAAGTAACAGAAATTCATTTGCGTGCGAATAGAATTTTTAATGACTCCTTGCGCTATGAAATAAAAACACATGAAAATCCAGTGAAATTTACGTTTTTCATAGCTTTGTCAGGAGATTTTAATGGGTTTTTCACGGAAAAATACCAAGAATATGGCATGAAAATCTCAAAAAAAAAAGAATGAAAACCATTAATATTCAACGCTTCAGGACCCATGAAAAAAACTAACAAACAAAAAACCCATGAAAATGCCATGAAATAAATTAAGGCCAATCATGTTTTTTTTTTCCCATGGCTTTTTTATGATAATGAAAAAGCAGTGAATTTAAGAGCGGTTGTCTGTAAATATCGAAAATTTGCCGTCAAAACGGAAATTTCGAAATCCTTCATGTTCAGTTAGAAAAAACCCTTTGGTGAAACTTTTTCGAAAATCACAATCAAAGTTTCCAAAGAATCTTTTTTTTCGAGAAAACCGGCAAAAAGTGAAATGCTGCCCCACGCCATATAGTCGCCGGTCTAAAACCTTTGAATTGTACCATTTTCAAAGCCATCGGGAAGAAAAACGGTTCAAGGAAACAAGTTCATCTTTGGCAGGCAAGTAAGGCGTCCCAGTTACAATACTATTTTGTAAAAATATTGCAAGATAATGAATTTGTTACTCGGTTAAAAAACGCCCGAAGATTCCTATCTTCAACACTTTCATAAACAATGAAATTTTGCAAAACTTTGAAGGAAAAAAATCACGGCTTGGTACATGGAATTTTAGAAGAATTATTATACCTCAGAAAAGCCCTACTGTTGTAGTACAACATATAAAAAATCCAGCTTGGGCAATTAAAAAGCAACGCGTCGAGAGAGGTAAACGCGCAGTTCGTTTTCGATGTTTTTGCATAAAATGCACGTTAAAACCGTCACGCAACCGCGGGTAACACAAACTCCAAAAAATTGTCTTGACTCACATTTTTTCGTGGTGATCAGGAAAAAAAATTTTTTACTTGTAAAATCGAAAGGTTGATTACTCTGGTATGAATCGACTAGTTAGAAATTTAGATGTGGGTGATCGCAATGAAACAATATGACAGGTCAAACGGCCGTTTCCATAAATGTCAACAATGCTGAGGAAAGTAAGGAGTCTTGTGTCAAAATATATATATTTCTGAAATTCAATTTACTTGATAGAAATTTTTTGAGTCGTGGGGTGTATTTTATACATAGAAATTGCTGGAAAGAAAACGGACTAAGAATCAGACAAACATTGAATTGAAAAGGTAAATAATATGAGTTTCCTAAACGAGCTGATTGAAAGATCAGGTGCCGTGTCAAATGCGTGTCAATCTTGGCATCTGTTAGGTATGTCTCTTGATTTCGTTGTTAACTGATTGAAAAAACAAAAAAAAGCAATGATCAAGACAAAAACTATAGACCGATCTTAGGCTATGGCTACTTTATTAGGAAAGGAGCTTTTTATTTGGAGAGGCGGAGGGAGAGTAGAGGCTGTATGAGAAATTTCTTCCATTTTTTTTCAACCGCTCTTATTTGCATAAGGTTTTTTTTTCGCGACAACTGGACACGTATATTCATAGCCTTTTATCACAGCCCAAGCTTCATAAGTTTAGAGTCATCGACCTTAGTACCTCTAGCAACAGTTGTTGTATTATATTTTAATATATGGAGTTAAACTCCATGGGTTATTAATTTAAAACTGGTTCCAGATTCATTCAAAATCTGTAACTTCCCACAAGTTATAATTAGGCAAGCCTCTGTTACTTTAATAACATTAACAATGGAGCAACTGGCTTTCTCTGTTCTCGATTCAAATCTTTGTTGACACAGAGGTGGAAATAACTAACTGGTTAAGCGCGATAAAGATTTTCCGGTCAAGCGCATTTTTGCCTAGACAAGAGCCAGTTACGCGGTCGCTTAATAATGATTTTTAACGAACGCAGAGGAACGTTAAGAGGACTTTAAAATAAAACTTCTAAGCAAGAACGGAATAAGAAGGGATTTACGATACAAGCGGGGCGAAAATGAACAAAGAATTTAGTTGAGGTGGACAGGGGGCTGGAGCTCGGGAGAATAAGGGGTGGGACCACTGGGAGGGGTTTGGGAGATGGGAGAGGAAAGGGCGTGTGATGGGAGTTCTAAAAGAGTGGAAAGCGGGAGAAAAAAAAGAAAATTACCCGGCAATGCTTAAAATTTGCAATCGAAAATGGCTACATGACGGTAAAAATAAATGGTGAAATTTTGCCTCGACGTTTCGAAATGAAGGTTGGAAAGAAAAAAAGAGTGGGAAAAAATTAAAAACTAATAAATGCACGAAACAAGAATGGCTGGTAAGACGGTGAAACTAAACTGCGCATTGACAAGTACCACTACAACAAAAACTATAGAGATAGCTTAACCTGGAAATCTTTTCACTGCAGATTTACGGAGATTCGGCAATGTGAGCAATATTATTTTATATCGGCGGGGAGGACGAAATTATGTCTATTCAACACTTTTTATTCGAATGGGATTCTGAAAAATATCAGCATTTCCTTTCTAACATTCCCGTTATACAAATCCCAGAAATAGGTGAGACTTGCATAAACGTTTTCCCATGCTTCCTTGTGTACCAATTTTTTCTCCTTCTTTTCTTGTGCATGATTTTGTTTTTCTGTTTTTGCAGGTCCAGGCTGGACCGGTGTATTTGAAAACACAACATTTATTTGGTCAAAAATGGATAAACATGCAAAGTGCATATATTATTTTCTAAATGTTTCCTCTCAGATTGAAACGCAAACCTGATGTTTTCAAATTTACTCGCTTTGAAGCTGGAATATGCGATGAGCATTTACCAGAAGTTCCGAGACTGTAAAACAGCCGGTCCTTTTTTATGCCCTTGTATGATTTTCGCACGCGTGTGGGCCTCACACGCTCATAAGGCGTGTCAAATCTCCTTTTCATCCTCGCTCCAGATGTTTCGTTTGAGCGTGGGTTCTTCATCTACTTAAATTTAAAAAGGGAAAAAGTTCCATTTCTCTGGTCGACAATTTATTCAGCTAACTTTGATACCTTTAACGGACTCCTAGAGTAGTACCCTCTGGCATCAGTCCCTTTCTTGTCTTTTCTGTTTTTCTAACCTTCGATGAGACGATATCGTATTGAACACTTTGCTCTCTACGCAGTCCTAGCTACAAAATAATTGTTCCACACACACAATTGGCTATCAAATGGTTTACCCAAATGACCAAAACCCTAAAAAGCTTGTTCTTTTTTACCTGCTACCATCCGTCCCCGAGGCATTCCGCGGGAAAAGTCCAGAGCTTCGGGCCCGAGGGCTGGGGGTATAGCAAGGCTGGGCAAATTAAAACTAACTTTTCATTGTTTTCTTTTGTGTGTGTGCCAGTGTGTGCGAAGTATTTCTGGCCGCGTGAAACAATATGGCCGGTTGTTTTGTTTTTTTAAAGTGTAGGTATTCCGTTTTTTTTTGTTGATGCAATGTAAGTCAGGTTCTCTATATTTTCTACATAAATTATTGAACGAAACAGCATA